GAAGTGCACATTTACTGACCCACGAGGCTTCTGGCGGTCACGTGATGGAAAAAACATAGCAGATGTATTATGTGGTACACAAGCAGAACTGCATACTACACACAGTCGTGCAATTAAGAATGTAATGTTTTTGATTATATAGGTTGGTTGATTGGCTGGTTTGTTGATTGATTATATAGGTAGGTTGGTTGAATATAGGTTGGATGGTTGGTTGGTTGGTTGGTTGGTTGATTATATAGGTTGGTTGGCTGGTTGGTTGATTGATTATATAGGTAGGTTGGTTGAATATATAGGTTGGATGGTTGGTTGTTTGATTATATAGGTTGGTTGGTTAGTTATATAGGTTGGTTGGTTGACTATATAGGCTGAATGTTTGGTTGGTTGGTTGGTTGACTATATAGGTTGGTTGGTTGATTGGTTGGTTGATGGATTGATTATATAGGGTGGTTGATTGGCTAGTTGGTTGATCGATTATTTAAGTTGTAGTAGTTGATGGTTAGTAGTTGATTGGTTGGTCAATTTTATAAGTTGGTTGGTTGGTTGGTTATATAGGTTGGTTGGTTGATTATATACTGTAGGTTAGTTGGTTAGTTGATTGGTTTGTTGAATATATATGTTGGTTGTTAGGTTGATTTATTATATAGGCTGGTAGGTTGATTATATAGGTTGGTTGGTTGATTGGTTGGTTGATTATATGGATTGGTTGGTTGGTCAATTATATAGGTTGGTTGGTTGATTGGTTGGTCAATTATATAGGTTGTTTGGTTGGTTGATTACAAAGGTTAGTTAATTGATTGATTGATTGATTGATTGATTGATTGATTGATTGATTGATTGTATAGGTTGGTTAGTTGGTTGGTTGGTTGGTTATATAGATTGGTTGATCATATAAGTTGGTTGGTTGATTAGTTGATTTATTGGTTAATTGATTGATTATATTAGTTTGTTAATGTATTAACTAATAAGCACTTATATTTGTAATATTCCAAATTGTATTATACAAAAAATCTATACTTTTGTGTAAAAGTTTAAAAATAAAACAGTCCAAATAATAAAAAATGTAAAATCGCCATTAAAAATTGCAGACAGTATATTGTTTTTTTTTACTATGAATAATTTTATTCTATACAAATATCTAAAATATTATTAAATTATTTAATAATTCTATTTAATAATAATAATAATAATAATAATATTAATAATAATAATATCAGTAAGATTAATAAATAACCTGGGGCTCTCTGGTTGGGAACTAAACAAAATATTTAAATATCAAATTGTTTACGAGGGTGAGTGAATAATATCAGGGTGAAATATAATATATAACATTACATTATAAGTAGTTAAATAAAAAAAAAACAGTATGATCAAATTAAAACATGATCAAAGTTTAATGTTATATTATTTTAATGAGTTAATCCAGCTTTTGACTTTTTTATCATACACATTTTATCTTTTAAGTTTGTTTGCAAGTTGAAACAACTCGTAAAGTCAACATGATTCAACTCAAGAATTTTCTACACTAAAAATCCCATTGAGGCATACAAACAAAAGGAATAGTAAGATAAGAGAAAGCCCGTCAGTGCAGTCTCCTATTATAAACTCCTGTGTCAGCCTTCAATACCGACTGAATGGACACAGTGGACACTGTTTGTTCCAACTGACCCTCTCTATTCATATCCACCAGCATGTTGGGACAGAGCGGTCGCTAACACGGATTCTCCGATAAGAATCAGCAGGGGTTGCTAACACCAAAACACACACACACACACACACACACACACACACGCACACACACACAGTTCAGAATGTTCCTCAACTGCACCATGTGTTTTTAAAATCACAAACTCTGTCTGAGAGGGAGCAAAGGAAGTCAGGAAGAAATCTTGGGAAGGAAACGTGCGCGCGCGAGAGAGAACAGCTGATCGGAATGCTTGGGAAATCACAGGTTTCCTGTTCACTGCAGCCTCCACCTATAACAGATCTCCTCCAGTGTTAGATAACAGCATTTGTGTCAAACTGCTAAGCTGCTTGTGTCCAAACTGCTCTGTATTGAGCTTTGTGTGGTCTGATTACCTTTCAATGTATGATAGGGCCTATTGTCTTGTTTTAAGAAATAATATGTTAAAATTAAAGGATATTTTCTTACTTAAAGAAAGCAAAATAATCTGCCAATGGGGTAAGCAAATTAACATTATTTTTCCTTTTGACAGGATTATTTTGCTTACCCTATTGGTAGATTAATTTGCTTGTTTTAAGGAAAACCCCACTTATTAATTCTTAAAACAAGACCACATGTTTTGCTTGTCTAGAAAATGTTTCTTGATTCAAAGATTTGTAGATATTTGGACTCGAAATTAGGCAAAAAATCTAAGTAAAAAAAGCCTTTATTTGAAGAGTAAACTCTGCATGCGCATTTTGACTAGCTGTAGTTTTGCAATAATTGTTATGTAATATATAAATATAATAGAATACATTGCAATATTTTGCTTTTCAGCGATGTGCATTGCAATATGGAACTACAATTCACCAAATAGATTGAATAACTCCTTTTTTTGTGAAAAAAATCCCTATTTCAGAATGTTTAGGATGATTTTATAAGGGAGTAAATTTGCATAAATTATTTAAATTAACTTTTAACTAGATTTTTATTGGGGGGAAAAACAAAAATCAGAGACAAAAAGTGCTTTATATTTGTCTGGTAAGTCTGATGGGGAGTTCAATACCAGATGCGGTTTGCGCAGTTAGATTGGGCTATTAGCACGTGAGTTTACTCGCTTCAATCGCACGTAAAATTCACTTAATACTAGAGCAAGCTTCTGATTGGTTAACATGGTGCGAATGTCTGCCAAAGTTCTGATTTTTCAACTCAAGCGATTCACACGAATCACACGTTAAGGGCGTCGAATCGCGTCTTTGCATTGACTTAACATTTAAATCACTCGCACTTGATGCTTCATTCATGTTTGGTGTGAATGTACCAGTACTGTCATTTGGGCACAAATATTCAAAAATCGAATGTAAAATGACACTTGGCTGTCTTCGATAATATAATGGAATTCAATTAGGCCCCGTTTACGCTGCCAGTTAAATGTGAGCCAATTCCGATTTTTTGTTCATATGTGACACAGATCGGATCTGTTCTATGATCGTGCAAACAAAAAAAAACGGCATGCATTCGGATATTCAGAGATGGGTTTCAGGCCTCCTTCATATGTGGAAATAAATCAGATGTTGATCGGATATGTGACAATGCGACTGTCATGTAAACAGGCAGATCGGATTTATTGAGGCGTTCCGTTCTGTACATCATTAAACTTGCGACAATGTGGTGCTTCTCCGCGGTTTAATGACGTAGAAAGAAGAGCGTGTGTGGAGATGCCGACGTGGTAAACAACATCAACACATAGGAGGAAAGTGGTCAGTCGCCACAATTTGCTCCCACCAGACTTGAGATCTCTCTCGAGTTCCTCTGAATGGTGGATGACATCGTAAAGCATATAAACCATAAGCACAAGCTGCGATGACGGCCCTTTACCACCTCCGCTTCAAAATCATTTTAAAGTTGGGTGAACTTCGTGTTGTAACTTTTGCTTTTTGTCGCTATTAATACACGCGCTGCGGGCTACACACAGAACAACTTTATTCTCTCCAACATCAGTGCGCAAACAGGCAAAGACTACGGCTGTTTCTCAATTCCAAGAACGCAGAGAACGGACTTGTGTTCTTGTGGAGACCGGTCTTGCCAGGTGTCCTCGGAAGAATTGAGATGCTGCGTTCTTTCTGATGGTCACATGACCTTCACGTGTTTTTAATGGTAAATTATTTAAACATTACAGCGTTCATACAACGACTTATTGTTTTTCCCCTTTTCAAAATATATACTTTGCATAAAAACATTGTAAATATACTCTGCACAATATAAATAAAACAGATTTTAAAACGAATTTTAGCAAACAAACACCCTTAATGTGTTTATTCCTTTATTAAGATGTTCATGGTAATGTTTACTTTCACCGTTTCATTTAGGGAAACTCCTGAGGTAAATATTTAATATCTGTGAACTTTAATAATAAATCTAAATAAAATGCAGCGCTTCCCACCTCCAGTCGCAATGACTTCTGGGACTTCCAGAGCGAGTTCGGTGCTCAAGTCTGCATCGGTGCGTCCTCGATATCAAGATCACATCCGGGAAGTTTCACGCGTCCTCCGTACTTGCCGTCTTGAGTATTGGAACTGAACTTAGGCAGCTGATGATGACGTTACACGAGAACACGAGGACGCAAGGCCGCTGAAGAACGCATATTGAGAAACAGCCAACATCTTCAACTACACACACACATCAGGGCCATACCATTACATAAACTGCGTGGGGGTAAATCTGGACTAAACCATTCACTGCTTATACTACACTTCGCATATTTCACAGAGATAAAAGCAAGACAATTTCTTCCATCGTGGCAAGTGTTGCACAGACAAACCCACCTTTATGCATGCGCGACATCGTAAATTGTATGGCAAGTGTAAACGCATGAATTGGATATGGGTCACAATTAAAACAACGAGTAAACAGACAGGCAAACAAATCAGATAAAGGCACCAAATTAGAATTGGGCATCAAGACCTGACAATGTAAACAAGGCTTTAGTCTTTGTTTAAGCTACAAATGCTATTGTTTCTTGTGCTTAAATGCTTTAAACTGACTTGATATGTTTAACGGGAGAAAAAAAATGCAATTATTACATTTTAAAGCCACAATTGTACAACTTTACAATTATTTACAGGTTCCTGGTCAACAAAAACCCATACTTGACATTGCAGATCCAGCAATCATTGCGGATGCACACATTGCAATATCAATGCTGAAATTATTTAAAGCCAAGCCCTAGCCAGGTGTTTAAACACATACACCCTTCCTGATGAAGCAGTGTATTGGAGGGTCTCTCTGAGAGATCTAAGAGCGAGCAGAAGCCAAGCTGTTCGGCGGATGAACTACTGACCAAAGCGCAGAGCAGGTCCACTGCCTCCAGAATGAGCTCCTGATGTCCGACGCGGGTCACCGATAGCTCCTCCAGCTCCTGATGGGAAATCTTCAGCAGCCGCTCTCCACTGATCTTCTCTCTCTCGAAGTTGGAGATATACTGCTGGAGGCTGTCATCCAGCCCTGAGGGACAGAAAACAAAGACAGTCTTTCAGGTAAATCCACATTTTTATCTGACATCTCAACTGTCTGCGCAAACATGGAGAAGTTGAGTCAATATGGAGACGCTTGCGTTAGATCGAAGTCTCTCGCTCTCGCTGAGTGAGAGTTACCTGATCAAAAAAGGTTGGGACAGGAGCAGTTTAGGGTTAGTAATCAGGTAATTTGGATTTGAAACAGGTGATGTCAACAGGTGACTGTAATTATAATTTAGTACAAAAGCAGCATCCAAAAAAAGATCTTTAAGGAGCAAAGATGGACCGAGGATCGTAAGAAAATTATTCAAATGTTTAAAAACAAAGTTCCTAAAAAAAAAAAAAGGACGAAATTTGGATATTTCGCTTTCAACAGTGCATAACATCATTAAAAGATTCAAGGAATCTGAAGGAAATTCAGTGTGTGAAGGATAAGGGCACAAGACTAAGCTGAACAACCGCAATCTCCGATCCCTAAGGCAGCACTGCATCAAGAATTGTCAATCATCTATAAGCATTATCACCACATGGGCTCAGCACTACTTTGGAAACCCTGTCAAGTACCACAATACATAGTTACATCCACAAATGCCAGTAAAAACTGTACTGTGCCTAAAAGAAGCCCTATGTTAACAGTGTCCAGAAGCACCATTAACTTCTCTGGGCTCTGAGGCATATGGGATGGATCATCACACAGTGGAAACTTGTACTGTGGTCAGATGAACCGGTAGTTCAGGTATTTTTTTGGGAGAGATGAACCTTGTGTACTTCAGACCAAAGAAGAAAAGGATCATCCAGACTGTTACCAGCAACAAATCCAAAAGCAATGGTATTCTGTGATGGTATTGGGTTGTGTCAGTGCCCTTGACAAAGGTGACTTGCACTTCTGTGATGGAAACATTAATGCTGAAATGTACATATTCTGTGGAGGAAGAGAATATAGGTTCTTGACTGGCCTGCCTGCAGTCCCGACCTGTCTCCAATAGAGAATGTGTGGCACATTTTGAAGCGCAAAATTCGACAACGAAGACCCCGTGCTGTTGCCCACCTTAAGACTTGTTTGCAAGCAGAATGGGACAAAATTACACCTGAAACACTTCATTACTTGGTCTCTAAATGTCTTTAAAGTGTTGTGAAAAGGAATGGCAACATTATTAATTTGTAAATGCTTTACTGTTCCAACTATTTTTTAAACGTGTTGCAAGAACCAAAATTGAAATATGTGTTTATTTTGAGAAAAATAAATCATGAGAGGCACATTAAATAAACTGCTGTTGTATAGTCTACAACTCAAAAGTAAATTTAGAAATCACTTCTTTTTTAATTTTATTTGCATTTTCGATAATGTCCCAACTTTTTCTGATTTAGGGTTGTATGTCAAATGGAGTACACTTTGAAAGCCTGCAAAAAATGGCATTTTTATTTAGAGATTTGCTTTGTTTCTACCCTAAATATCTTTAAAGTCTTAAATCAAGAAGCATTTTCTAGACAAGTGAAAAATATTGTTTTGTTTTCAGAAAAAATAGCTTAAAGGGCACCTAGGTTACCCCTTTTTTTCAGATTTAATATAAGTCTTTTGCGTCTCTAGAATGTGTATATAAAGTTGTTGCTGTTTTATACTTATTTCCACCAGGGGGTGGTTTAGTCGTACTGCGCCTTTAAGTTGAGTCTTCCCTGCCTACTGTTTCTACGTGCCTTCCCGTGTGCTTTAATCTCCTCCCTCGGCTGCGTCAGACAACAGACAGACTTAAAGGAAGAAGGTCTTACATAGCGTTTGTGAGAAATACTACAGTAAGAACTTTACTAATCAGTATTTGTTGTGAAGTTGCATTGATGAGTCACACGCAATATCGTTACAAAGTTCGCGTGCGCGCACACACCGACGCACGCACACCGCAGCTGACACACACACACACAAACAGGCAGACAGACAGAGCACACTTAGCATTGCACTGTTTTTGCATGCAAATGTGACAGGATACAGGCTAATCTCCACTGCTGTGTGGATATCTGTGATGTTATTGTAAAAAATAAACCTGATTTAACGTCCACAAACCGGGATTGACGCGTTTTCCTTTCAAATTGTTCTGACACGCGGCAGTGCAGATAAAGTAAAGCTGAAGTAAATCGCTGTAATTAATTACACACGTGTACTGTGTTAAAACACTTTAAACATGTGAAAATCACATTTGATGATGATTGCTGATTCTAGCGAACAGAACAGACCTTTTATTCCCGGTTGCTTTGCGTATGTTTGGTCTTGTTGACATATACACATGACTACCAGGACATGTTAATACGCAGCTGTCAATCAATTCAGTGGGCGGGGGGACCGCACTCCTACGTAAAGTTGCGGTCGGTCTGAAAACAGCTCCAATTGGTCCACCGTTTTATATTGTTAAATTGAACAAAAAGGACTGGGTGTGTTTATATCACCCCAATATGATGGTCTATACACTATATAGTGTATAGGAGGTATAGGAGTGTGAGATGCAGGACTGCCAGACTCAAGAACTCTTTCTTCCCATCAGCTATCAGACTTCTAAACAGATAACCAATGCACATAACAGTCTCTTTTTCTGCCAATTGCACTAGGCACTTTTTGCATAATAAGCACAATTAAAAAAACCACTGTACATTGTTTACATCTGTTTCATTCCTCAAATCAGTTTTATATATTGTTTACTTTCATAGATATTTATATACTTACATTTTATAATCATACTTCAGCCACTTCTGTGTATATATGTGTATTTATGTGTATGTCATGTATGATGTGTATGTTGTGTGTATGACTTCACTGTGGACAGCAAAGTAAGAATCTCACTGTACAGGGAAACGTGTTTCCTTACTGTGCACATGACAATAAACAGTTGAATTGAATTGAATATATACACATATGTTTGTCCAAATAAGTAGATTTTTCACCATAGGTGCCCTTTAAAATTTGACGAGTTTTTCCTTAAAGTAAGCTAAATAATCTACCCGTTAGGTAAGCAAAATAAACTTATTCAAAACTGAAACCACTGGTAGATTAGCTTGTTTTAAGAAAGAAACTCGCTTATTTCTGACCAATAGTTTCTGAAAACAAAACTGTATATATCACGTGTCTACATAATGCTTCTTGATTTAAGAATTTTTAGATGTTTGGATTAGAAATAAGACAAACACGCTAAACATAAACTAAAGTTAGGTCATGTTTTAGTGAGTCCGAACTAACAGTTAATCAATATTAGTCTGAAAATCAAAATCCTGCGTATTAGTTGAAACTAATAAGGAGCCTTCTGTCCACTGTTTGTTGGACTGCAGTATAAGAGTGTCTCTTTGTTGGGGGTAGAAGCGCTTTTTAAAATCAAAGGGAAAGTGAGAAAAGAAGGCAAAGCGGGGTCAAAGGTCACATTTAGGGAGTCCTGAATGCCTTCGCTCTCAGCGCCCCTACTGAGAGACAACAGCTGCATTTTCTGAGCTCAGAAAGAGAGACGCTGCGTCAATAGCGCCGACTGAGAAAAGCCTCCCCGTTTGAGAGAAGTGTCAACAAAAAGAGTCAATGCCTTGTGAGCAAACTAGCATCAGCTTTTGTTGACAGAGTATTTCTGCATTAAAAACACTGGCAAAACTGAAGGGGATGCTTGATTTGTTTGATTGACATGCTCATTTGGTGATGAAGGGCTGCTGGGATTTTTGTATGTCAATAAACTGGTGAAATGGCCAGGTGAAAAGTTTCAAATAAGCAGTTAAAATCCCCAATTCTGAATCAGAATGAGATTTAATGCCTAAAGTGTTTAGACACACACACATACAAAAGGATTAGTCTTGGTTAAGCCTCTAGTACAATGACATAAAATCAAATAATACCTACTAAACAAATAGACTTAAAAATGTATTATTTATTTTTAAACCTACATATTTTTAATTATATTAATGCTTTTTTTTTTGTATCATTGAGATACAGTTGTAGTTTTTAGCCATTTGTATTTTAATGTTTACATTTTTGGCAAGTTTGTTAAATGCTTTTATTATTTATATTGTTGTTTGCTTAGTTTGTGTGTAGTTTTTATTGTAGCTGTATTTCAAAACAATTTTTTTTCCAACCTGATCTTACAAGAAAACGTAACTATTTTACGTTTTGTCAGTTAGTGGCTAATTTGTAAACGACTTCATTCATACGTAAATGTACGAACTTTTAAAAGGAGGTGTGGCACCAAACCCCACCCCTAAACCCAACCGTGATTGGGGAATGACAAAATCTTACTAAATTGAATGATTGAGATAAATTCCTTCGTAGGTGCGTAGTTTACAAGTTGTTAAAAATTGTTGCGGGGGATGCGTAGTTCACAAGTCGGTAAAAAAATTGTTTGAATTCTCAGATCATGAAGTAGTATTTTTTCTTTGCGCTCTTCTTCATGCTATATTTATGTATATTTTGTGTTTTATATGCAAACTTTTTTTAAGTAAAGTACAGTTAATCCACTTACAATTGATAGTGATAGTTAACGTCAGTTGTTCTGAGCTCGCTCTGAAATTTAAGCGATTATTTCGCAGCCGAATAAAAGGCATGTAAAAAAAACTTCAAAATACCTCAAATAAATGATAGTAAAGCTATTTAAAAGAAACAAAAAAATATACACAATTGAACAAAACTATTGATGAACACTTCAAAATAAAAATAACTAAATAAATAAAAAAATAAAAAAACATTTTGAAAATACTGCCAAACAAGACTCCTTTCAAAGAGTTCATATTAAATTTGATGAATGTTTGTTTTACTGATGAAGTGATTGAACATCATATTGAACATCAATAGTTCATTCATTCGTTCATTTTCCTTCGGCCCAGTCCCTTTATTTATCAGGCCTCACCACAGCGGAATGAACCGCCAAGTTATCCAGCATGTTTTACACAGTGGATGCCCTTCTAGCCACAACCCAGTACTGGGAATCATCCATACACTCTCATTCACACACATACACTACGGACAATTTAGCTTAT